TTTTAATGCATATTTTGATTTCCCCATTTCTCGAATTTTCGATGTTTGGATCTCTGGTTTTTCGATTTTCCAGGTTTTTGATTTTTTAATTTTTCGATTTTTTAAATTTTCTAGCTTTCGACGTTTCGATTTCTCTAAATACTTCAGTTTTTCGATTCTACAATTTTTCTTTAATTTTATAATTTTTCGGTGCTTGAGTTTTGGTGTTTTTCAATTTTTAAATGTTAATTTTTTTGATTTTTCGGTCTTTAAACTTTTCGATTTTTCCGTGTTTCAATTTTTTTATGTCGATATTTCGATTTTTCCATTTATGGATTTTTTTAAATTTAAATTTTTCACTTTTTAATTTCACGACTTTTCAATTTTTCAATTTAAAATTTTACGATACTTTAATTTTGGGATATTTCAGTTTTTTGATTTTTAAATCCATCGATTCTTCAATTTCTCGTTTTTTCAATATTTTCATTTTCCCATTTCTCGAATTTTCAATATTTCGGTTTTCAGGTTTTTAATTCAATTTTTCGCTTTTTCAAGGTTTCAATTCGTCAATTTTTCGATTTTTCAGATTTTTGGTTTTTCAGTTTCTCGATTTTTTAATTTTCTGTTTTTCGACGTTTCGATTCCTCGACTTTTTAATTTTTCGATGTTTCAGTTTTTCGTTTCTTCGATTTTTCAATTTTTTGATATTTTAATTCTTCGATTTTTTAAATTTTCTATTTTTCAACGTTTCGATTTATCGACTTTTTAATTTTTCGGTATCTCAGTATTTCAATGTTTCAGTTTTGGGATTTTTCAGTTTTTTGGTTCTTCCATTTTTCAATTTTTCGATATATGAGTTTCGGGATTTTTAATTTTCCGATTCAACTTTTTGAAAATTTAATTCTTCGATTTTTTAAATTTTAGATTTATCAATTTCTCCATTGCTGTTTTTTTTTATTTCTCAGATTTTCGATTTTTCAAATTTTAAATTTCCCGATTTTTCATTTTTTCGGTTTTTAAATTTTTCGGTTTCTCAATTTATCAAGATTTCGATTTTTCGATTTGTAGATTTTGTTGTGAAACATTGAAGAACTAAAAATTAAGAAACTTGAAAATGAAAAATTGTAGAATCCAAAAGTCCAAAAACTAACAATGAAAAATCAAAAAAATTAAAAATCGAATAAATGAAAAAGGTTGAAAGTCCAATAATTGATTTTTTTTTATTTTCTCGATTTCTGGATTAATACATTCTTCGACTTCTCGACTTTTCCACTTTTAAATTTTTCAATATTTGGATTTCCCTTTCCCATTTTTTCGATTTTCAGGTTTTAAATTTTTCAAGATTTTGCTTGCAATTTTTTTTAATTTTTGGTTTTCCAATTTCTCGATTTTTTCTTTTTTAGGTTTTCAATTCAATTTTTCGATATCTCAGCGTTTCGATGTTTCAGTTTTTCCATTCTTCGATTTTTCAATGTTTTGATATTTTAATTCTTCAATTTTTTAAATTTTAGATTTATCGATTTCTCCACGTTTTAATTTTTCGATATCTCAGTATTTCAATGTTTCAGTTTTGGGATTTTTCAGTTTTTTTGTTCTTCAATTTTTCTTCCATTTTTCAATTTTTCGATATATGAGTTTCGGGATTTTTTTAATTTTCCGATTCCTCAACTTTTTGAAATTTTAATTCTTCGAATTTTAAATTTTAGATTTATCGATTTCTCTATTTTTGTTTTTTTAATCTCTCAGATTTTCGATTTTTCAATTTTTCGTTTTTCAATTTTTAAATTTCCCGATATCTCAATGTTTTGATTTCTCAATATTTCAATTTCTCGGGTTTTTCAAATTTTCGATTCTTTCATTTTTTAAAGTTTAGCTTTTTCGATTTCTCGTTTTTTTATTTTCCAAGTTTTCTTCGATTTTATAATATTCCGGTATTTGAATTTTGGCGTTTTTCAGCTTTAAAATGCTAAATTTTTCGATTTTTCAATTTTTTGATTTTTAAATTTTTCGATTTCTCAATTTATCAAGATTTCGATTTGTAGATTTTGTTGTAAAACATTGAAAAACTAAAAATTGAGAAACTTGAAATTGAAAAATTATAGAATCCAAAAGTCTAAAAACTGTAACAATGAAAAATAAAAAAAAATGTTTTCATTTTCTCGAATTCTCGATTAATCCATTCTTCGATTCTCGACTTTTCCACTTTTAGATTTTTCAATATTTGGATTTTCCTTTCCCCTTTTTTCGATTTTCAGGTTTTAAATTCTTCAGTTTTTCGGTCTTTAAACTTTTCGATTCTTCCGTGTTTCAATTTTTCGATTTCTAGATATTTCGATTTTTCCATTTATTAAATTTTTCACTTTTTAATTCCTCGATTATTCGATTTTAGGCTATTTCGATTTCACGACTTTTCGATACTTCCATTGTTCGATTTTTCAATTTGAAATTTTTCGATATTTTAATTTCGGGATTTTTCAGTTTTAATTTGTAAATCCATCGATTTTTCAGGTTTTCAATTCGTCAATTTTTCGTTTTTTGGTTTTTCAATTGTTCGATTTTTTTAATTTTCTATTTTTCGACGTTTCGATTCCTCGACTTTTTAATTTTTCGATATCTCAGTGTTTCGATGTTTTCAGTTTTTCGATTCTTCGATTTTTCAATTTTTTGATATTCTAATTCTTCGATTTTTTAAATTTTAGATTTATCGATTTCTCTATTTCTGGTTTTTTTGATTTTTCAGTTTTTCGATTTTTTGAATTATCTATTTTTCGACATTTCGATTTCTCGACTTTTAACTTTTCGGTATCTCAGTATTTCAATATTTCAGTTTCGGGATTTTTTAATTTTCCGATTCTTCAACTTTTTGAAATTTTAATTCTTCGATTTTTTTAATTTTAGATTTATCGATTTCTCCTTTGCTGCTTTTTTTATTTCTCAGATTTTCGATTACTCAATTTTTCGATTTCTCAATGTTTTGACTTCTCAATATTTCGATTTCCCGGGTTTTTCGGATTTTCAGTTCTTTCATTTTTTAAAGTTTAACATTTTCGATTTCACTTTTTTTTTTTTATTTTCCAAGTTTTCTTCGATTTCATAATTTTCCGGTTTTTAAATTTTTCGATTTCTCAATTTATCAAGATTTCGATTTTTCGATTTGTAGATTTTGTTGTGAAACATTGAAAAACTAAAAATTGGGAAACTTGAAAATGAAAAATTGTAGAATCTAAACGTATAAAAACTGTAACAATGAAAAATCAAAAAAATTAAAAATCGAATGAATGAGAAAGGTTTAAAATCCAATAATTGAAATTTTTTCATTTTCTCGATTTCTCGATTAATCCATTCTTCGACTTCTCGACTTTTCGACTTTTAGATTTTTCAGTATTCGGATTTTCCTTTCCCATTTTCAGGTTTTCAATTTTTCAAGGTTTTGATTTTCATTTTTTTTTTTTATTTTTTATTTTCCAATTTCTCGATTTTTAATTTTTCAGGTTTTAAATTCTTCAGTTTTTCGATTCTTCAATTTTTCTTTAATTATTTGATTTTATTTTATAGATTTTTTTCATGCAAAACTAAATATTGAGAAACTTAAAAATGCAAAATTAAAATTATAGAATCGTTAAAATTGTAAAGTCGAAAAACTGGGACAATGAACAATCGAAAAATTGAAAAATCGTATAAATGAGAAAGTTTTAAAATCCAAAAATCGAAAAATGGAAAAATTCCAAAGTCGTAAAATTGTAGAATTAAAAAAAATATACATATATATAATTATTGTTACATATTTTATGAAAACTAGAAAAATTGCAAATCTAAAATTGAGAAGTCGGAACATTGAAAAATCGGGAAATTTTAAAAATAAAGGAAAAGTGGTATCACGTTGAATGAGGAAATAACATTTATATATTTTTTGATGAATTTACATTTTTTTTTAAACGTGGCTTCCGCTCTAGTTGCGTCGCCTGACGCATGGACACGGCATAATCAAACACTAAATTATAGTTATCGACGACAATAAACACTCCACAGTTGTCTTAACACATCCATCGCGATTTTATTGCTTTATGTAAACTTTCAAATGTGCAACTGTTTGGTATTTTAATCGTTCCTTTTCCGCTTGAATATTTCCAGTCGAATCGCTGCGATTTTTGAACACAAAGCCTCCGGTCGAAAATTTCAAGTTTCTGAGTTGAAAGTGAAAACGGAGGCCATTCGTGGCTAAGGTCACGATAATGTGGATATGCATTACTGCGATTCTTGCCTCAAGGTCCGAAAAAACACATAAATAAATAAATAGAATAAACGCATGACATGTCATTGTTGCCACATTACATTTTACGTGTTCTCCGCACGTAATTAAACCGCGAAAAGGTCGTGCGCCGCGTTTTCAATAGAAAGTTTTTATTCATCATTTCTGTAAATTACGTACAGACGTCCGAATAATTGACGTAAAAAAAAATTTTAATGCATTTCCGTACGTAGCGAAATGTGAAAGCCGGCGGATTTCTAACGTGTACCGAGCAAGCAGCACTTTTTCCCGTCTGAAAAAGCGCGCCGAAAAATTTGCACGTCACCCGAGTTTGCGGACCCACGGATAATAATTGCGGCGAACGAATTCAAATTTATGTGTATTTCTGGCTGTGTTACAGTTTCTAAATTGAAAGTGGCCTGCATTTAACAAGATGACCGTGCCTCGACCTCGCGCCGACGTTAATTTTACTTTTCTTGGTGGATCGCTTTCGATCGGGTGACGTACGCCACTGGTTGGGTTTTTCCGTTTCGGACGTTCACATTTTTATGGCGGACGAACAATGAAAAGTCGCGTTGCCACACGCTCCTGATTAATATGGAATATTTGCAAAACGCGCCTTTTTTAGTATTCTGCAATCACGTTGTGCAGAAAGCAGCACAACAAGGTCGGACGAAGCGAAAAATTGCGTGTATAGTCGGAGCGCGGGACTCCGAGATGTATAGTCGGCGAAATTGATGAAGTCGGGTTAATGGTGGTTTTTTTGTTGCAGCAATTGTCGTTTCCTTCCGCACAAAATGGCTACACGTCGTTCAGTTTCTCCATGTCGAGCACGGCGGACATGGAGGGCCCCGGGGGCAGTTTTGAGTGTGTACAGCAGACTGGACCACCCCGGGGTTCCCTAGAAGTACTGGGCTCGATACCGTATAAAGTACGAGTGCGAGCCAACGATGACGTGTACGAGGCCACCCGACACAGGATGACTATTGCCGAAGAAAATCACAAGAACAAATGGTAAGAGGTGGAATGTAAAAGTCATATAACCTTATAGCTTTTGGAGTACTCTAGTATATTTTGTAAATCGTTATATACCTCAAAATAGTATAGTTTTGGAAATTTCATTCTACCCTATAAAATTTTATTGGCAATAACGAGACGGACAGTAGTACAAATAGCAAGAGATATTTACAACTTAAGTTGTCGCGTGCCGGTAATCCTTAGATGGTAGAAAGCAGAATAATCCAGGTCCGGACAGGGACCATCGTTATTCATGAACGAAAATGACCATTATTTTATGAGTACAATTTATCGTCAATAAAATTTTATAGGGTAGAATGAAATTTCCAAAACTATAAATTCAGAGTACGAATTTCTCGATTTTTCTATATTTAAATTTTTGGCGTTTATACATTTTCGATTTCTCATTTAATTAATTTTTCAACTCCTCGGCTTTTAGATTTTTCGATATTTTGATTTTCCCATTACTCGATTTTCCGATGTTTCGGTTTTACGATTTTTCGATTTTCCAATTCATATTTCAATTTTTGGCTTTTCAACATTTTCGGCGTGTCGATTAATCGATTTTTCGAACCCTCTAATTTTCAATTTTTCAACTTTTCGATTGCTCAATTTTTTTTATGTTGCAATTTTCCTTATTGTCGGATATTTCAGTTTTCGGTTTTTCTAGATTTTCGATTTTTCGATATTTTGATTTTCTTATTACCTGAAGTCTCTAATTTTCAATGTTTCGGTTTCTCGAGTTACCACTCTTCAGGATTTCAATTTTTCAGGTTTTTGATTTTTCAATTTTTCGATTTCACCATTTTTTTATTTTTCGATTTTCCACATTGTCGGATATTCATTTTTTGGCTTTTCTACACTTTGGTTTTCTCGAATTTTCGATATTCGGTTTCTCGTTTTATTTTTCCTATTTTTCAATTTTTGACTTTTCTACATTTTCGATTTCTCGATTAATCGATTTTTCGAATCATCGACTTTTAGATTTTTCGATATTTTGATTTTCCCATTACTCGATTTTCCGATGTTTCGGTTTTACGATTTTTCGATTTTCCAATTCATATTTCAATTTTTGGCTTTTCTACATTTTCGGCGTCTCGATTAATCGATTTTTCGAACCCTCTAATTTTCAATTTTTAAACTTTTCGATTGCTCGATTTTTTTATTTTTCAATTTTCCTTATTGTCGGATATTTCAGTTTTCGGTTTTTCTAGATTTTCGATTTTTCGATATTTTGATTTTCTTATTACCTGAAGTCTCTAATTTTCAATGTTTCGGTTTCTCGAGTTACCACTCTTCAGGATTTCAATTATTCAATTTTTCAGGTTTTTGATTTTTCAATTTTTCAATTGCTTAAATTTTCGATTTTTCAACGTTTCGATTTCCCCATTTTTTATTTTTCAGTTTTCCACATTTTCGGATATTCAGTTGTTGGCTTTTCTACATTTTAGTTTTCTCGAATTTTCGATATTCGGTTTCTCGTTTTATTTTTCAATTCTTCAATTTCTCTTTTTTCCTATTTTTCAATTTTTGACTTTTCTACATTTTCAATTTCTCGATTAATCGATTTTTCGAATCTTCGATTTAGATTTTTCGATATTTTGATTCCCATTTCCCGATTTTCCGAATTTTCCAATTTTTCAAATTTTAGACTTTTCAATTGTCCTTTTTTTAAATTTTCGATTTTTGGACTTTTCAATTTCTCGAATTTTAATTTTTTGATTATTCAATTTTTCGATATTTCAATTTTTGGGATTTCTCAATTTTTCCAAACTTCAATTTCTCGATTTTTTAACTTTTCGATTGCCCAATTTTTTTATTTTTAAATTTTCTTTATTTTCGGATATTTCGACTTTTAGATTTTTCTCGAGTTACCAATCTTCAGGTTGTTGATTTTTCAATTTTTCAATTACTTAAATTTTCGATTTTTCAACTTTTCGATTTCCCCATTTTTTTATTTTTCGATTTTCTACATTTTCGGATATTCAATTTTTGGCTTTTCTACATTTTGGTTTTCTCGAATTTTCGATATTCGGTTTCTCGTTTTATTTTTCCTATTTTTCAATTTTTCGATATTTTGATACCCATTTCCCGATTTTCCGAATTTTCCATATTCGCGTTCTCGATTTATCATTCTTCAGGTTTTCAATTCTTCAATTTTCCAATTTTTCAAATTTTGGACTTTTCAATTTCTCGATTTTTAATTTTTTGATTATTCAGTTTTTCGGTGTTTCAATTTTTGGGATTTTTCAATTTTTCCAAACTTCAATTTCTCGATTTTTCAACTTTTCGATTGCTGGATTTTTTTATTTTTCAATTTTCCTTATTTTCGGATATTTCGACTTTTAGATTTTTCGATATTTTGATTTTCTTATTACCGGATATCTCTAATTTTCGATGTGTCGGTTTCTCGAGTTACCAATCTTCAGGTTTTTGATTTTTCAATTGCTTGAATTTCCGATTTTTCAACGTTTCTATTTCCAGATTTTTTTATTTTTCGATTTTCCACATTTTCGGATATTCAATTTTTGGCTTTTCTACATTTTGGTTTTCCCGAATTTTCGATATTCTGTTTTCGTTTTATCGATCTTCAAGTTTTCAATTTGTCAATTTCTCATTTTATTCTATTATTTTTCGATTTCTTTTTTTCTTATTTTTCATGTTTTGACTTTTCTACATTTTCGACTTTTCGATTAATCGATTTTTCGACTTCTCGATTTTTCGATATTTTGATTGTCTTGTTACCTGATTTCTCTAATTTTCGACGTTTCGGTTTCTCGATTTATCAATCTTCAGGTTTCCAATTCTTCAATTTTTCAGGTTTTTGATTTTTAAATTTTTCGTTGTTTAATGTCTTGATTTTTTAACTTTTTATTTTTCGATTTTCCACATTTTCGGATATTTCAATTTTTGGTTTTTCTACATTTTCGATTTTTAGATATTTTGATTTTCCTCACTTCCCAATCTTCCGAATTTTCGTAAGTCAGTTTCTCGTTTTATCGATCTTCAGGTTTTTAATTCTTCAATTTTTCAGGTTTTTGATTTTTCGATTTTCCGATTGCGTAAGTTTTCGATTTTTCAACTTTTCGATTGTTCGATTTTCCTTGTTTTCGGATATTTCAATTTTCGATGTTTCGGTTTCTCGAGTTACCAATCTTCAGGTTTTCAATTCTTCAGTTTTTCAGGTTTTTGATTTTTCAATTTTTCAATTGCTTATTCGATTTCCCCATTTTTTTATTTCTCGATTTTACACATTTTCGGATATTGAATTTTTGGCTTTTCTACATTTTGGTTTCTCGTTTTATCGATCTTCAGATTATCAATTCAATTTTTCGTTTTTTTTTTTTATAATTTTTCGATTTCTCTTTTTTCTTATTTTTCAGTTTTTGACTTTTCTACATTTTCGCTTTGTCGGAATCTTCGATTTACATTTTTCGATATTTTGATTCCCATTTCCCGATTTTCCGAGTTTTCCATATTCTCTTTCTCGATTTATCAATCTTCAGGTTTTCAATTCTTCAATTTTCCAATTTTTCAAATTTTTAATTTTTCAATTTTTTTTTTTAATTTTCAATTTTTGGACTTTTCAATTTCTCGAGTTTTAATTTTTTGATTATTCAATTTTTCGATGTTTCAATTTTTGGGATTTTTCAGTTTTTCCAAACTTCAATTTCTCGATTTTTCAACTTTCGATTTCTCCATCTTATTTTCCGATATTTCCATTTCTGATTTTTGTACATTTTCGATTTCTCGATCAATCGATTTTTCGAATTCTCGAGTTTCGACTCTGGATTTTTCCATATTTCGATTTTCATATTACCTGATTTCTCTAATTTTCGATGTTTCGGTTTCTCGACTTATCCATCTTTAGGTTTTCAATTCTTCAGTTTTTCAGGTTTTTGCCTTTTTTCAATTGCTTAAATTGTCGATTTTCCAACTTTTCGATTTCTCGATTTTTTTATTGTTAGATTTTCCTTATTTTTGGATATTTCAATTTTTGGCTTTTCTTCATTTTCGGTTTCTCGATTTTGCGAATCCTCGACTTTTCGACTTTTAGATTTTTCGATTTTTGGATATTTTGATTTTCTTATTACCTGATTTCTCTAATTTTCGATGTTTCGGGTTCTCGAGTTGGCTATCAATCTTCAGGTTTTTAATTCTTCACTTTTTTGATTTTTAAATTTTTAGATTTCTTAAATTTTCAATTTTTCGATTTGTTTATTTTTCGATTTTCCGAATCTTGGACTTTTCGATTTTTCGAATCTTCGACTTTTCGATTTTTGGATATTTTGATTTTCCCATTTCCCTATCTTCAGGTTTTCAATTCTTCAATTTTTCAGGTTTTTGAATTTTCAATTTGTCGATTTTTAAAATTTTTGATTTTCCAACTTTTAAATTTCTCGTTTTTTCAATTTTTCGATTTCTCTTTTTTCCGATATTTCCATTTTTTGCTTTTCTACATTTTCCATTTCTCGGTTAATTAACTTTTCGAATCTTCGACTTTTAAATTTTTCCATATTTTGATTCCCAATTTCCGATTTCCCGAATTTTTAATCGATTTCTTCGCTTTTCGAATTTTCGATATTCAGTCTCTCGTTTTTTTTTTTTCATTTTTTGATTTCTTTTATTTTCCAATATTTTAATTTTTGCTTTTCTAGATTTTCGATTTCCCGTTTAATCGATTTTTCGATTTCCGGGCTATTTTGAGTTCTTCAATTTTTCGATTTTTGATGTTTTTAAATTTTCAATTTTTAGTTTTTTTAAATTTGCCACTTTTCAGTTTTTGAATTTCTCGATTTTCAATCTTTCTATTACTCAATTTTTCGACTCCTCGACTTTCGGATTTCTCGACTTTTCTATATTTTGACTCCCTTATTTTCTCGATTTTTCGTTTTTTCGATTTTCAGGTTTCTAATTCTTCAAACTTTCGGTTTTTTTAATTTCTTTACATTTCAGTTGTAGATTTTTTAATTTTTCTTAATTTTTTCCGTTTTTTCAGTTTTACGATTTTTCAATATTCCAATTTTTGGCGTTTCTACATTTTCGGTTTTTTGATTTCCCAATTTTGTCGATTTTTTAGGTTTTTGATTTTTCAACTTTTCAATTTTTTAAATTTTCTATGTTTCAGTTTTGGGTTTTTTCAGTTTTTCGATTCTGCCTTCAATTTTTCGGTTTTTTAAATATTAGATTTTTCCATTACTCCATTTCTGTTTTTTTTTTCAGTTTTGAAATTTTTCGACTTATCAAGATTTCGATTTTTCGATTAATGCCCCAATTTTTTGATTTTTAAATTTTTCAGTTTCTAAATTTCTGAATTTTAGACTATTTCGACTTTCCAATTTCTCGACCTTTTGACGTTTCGATTTTTCGAATTCTCAATTTTTCAAATTTTCGATTTCTGGTTTTTGATTTTTTGATTTTTCTTTTTTTAATCTCACGTTTTCCTATTTTTCAAATTTTCCATTTCTTGACATCGCAGTTTTTTAATGTTTGAAATTTTTCGATTTTTCGAATTTTCGATTACCCAACGTTTGGATTTTTGCTTGATCTTCCGATTTTTCGGTTTTAATATGTTTGATTAAAAAAATGAATGATTTTTCAATTTTCCAATTTCTAATTTTTCGATTTCTCGACTTTTCAATTTCTCGATCCTTTGATATTTCGATTTCTTGACTTTCACTGTTTAAAATATTTCGATTTTTCAAATTTTCGAATTCTTGACTTTTCAACACATCAATTTTGGGAAGTTTTCCATCTTTAGAAAAATTGCAAATCAGAAATTGAAGAAATGAAAAATTGAACACCGAAATATTGAAAAATTTCTCATTGAGAAAAGAAAAACTATAAAATCAGAACATTGAAAACCCAAAAATTGAAAAAATAAAGAAAATGAAAAATCGAAACGAAAAATGCGCGAAATGAAAAATTAAAAATTGAAAACTCCTAAAATTGCAAGTCGAAAAATTCCAAAATCTAAAAACTGATCCAACCAAAAGTTGAAAATCGGAAAATTGAAAAGATTAAAATTAAAAAAAAAAACACAAAATTATAAAATCGGAAGTTCTGTCTTAATAATACCAACATTTTTTTCACTCAGACTTAAAATTCAGGTATGGTCTACTTCTGAATAGAAACAAGCTTAACCATTAGCAAACAATTATCACGACTACAATGTATTTCCGTTGTACAAACGTAACATAGTAACCATTTTTGTGCTCCAAATTTTTCTTTCCTGGACGTGTGCCGAGTTAAAGACCTCTTAACCCAATTTCGCCAATTTATCACCACTTTCCTTAATTATCTCAAACCCGTTCATGCTTTAGGCCCCCTTCGACGCATTCGCCGATAAACATCCACATGAACCCGAATTGATCGCATTTTTTCTTTTAGCACAAGGGAGATAAAACCCAACGAAAAAGACATAGGTCGTAAGGTGAAACTGAAACAAAACCGAACCTCTCTTCCACCGATCCGTCGAGATCCACCACCCATTCAAAGGGATAGCCTACCGAAGCCGTCTTATCAGTCGAACCTGCCCTCCAAGCAACCAGCAGCAGCGGTGATATCGTCGAGCAACGGTCTGTCGAATGGCCTGGGCAGCAACCACGTGAGCAGCTCACGACCGCAGCTCAACAAGCCATCCGTCCCCGACATAGCACGGAGGCCGATCAAGTACGTCCGCCGCCCACTCACTCTGAACCCTCTTGATTCCGTGTTTTTCAACCAGAGCCTGCGCAGGGTCGGCGGTGGCGCGATCCGGCTCGCGAAGGAGCACGCGGTCGCCCCGCGCCCGACCCTGGCGCGACCTCCTTCCAAACGATCCTCTAACAGCTACCGCTCGAGTTGTCTTTGTCTATAGTAAAGTCATTTGCAGAGAGCGATTAATACACCTTCTTGCGTTGAGGCCGTTTAAAAAGGTTGAATTACATGACCGTATAACGAAAGGTTTGTATGCGTCGAGGTGGCTGTGGAGCTATTTCTTGATGCGGTGTTGATTTTGGGTTGCAGAGGGTGTGCGGGAGAAGAACGGGATAACGTCGATACTTAAGCAGATCTCCTTCATGAAGGACAATTGTTACCATCTGAATCGGGCCATGTGGAACGAAGTGAACGAAGAGTGGCCTTTCTACACCGAGTCGGAAAGGCAAATGCTTAAAAGGTACGAGTTGGTGGCACTGCCGGCGGAACTGTTGCATGCTCCTATATGTGTGGTTTATGAATCCGAGTTGAGTTTTTACCAGATTAAAAATCAAATTTGTGTAAATACATTTTGCAATTTAATTTTGAATCGAAAAAAGAATGCTTTGAAATCGTGCAGGCGTTTGAAGGTTATCCTAATCGTGGTAAATCGTTAATCAAAAATTTTTCGTTTTATGTATCTATTTTAACTTTGAAATTAACAATAATTCGCAAATTAAATGGACCTTTTTAAATTTCCAACTAATATTACTTCCTGAGCGTAAACTGGGGAAGTATTGTAATCGAGTCCGTTGGACGACTGGCTACTTTGATGTTTTCTCAACGTTCAGTTTTTCAATTTTTCGAAATTTCGACGATTTGTTTTTTAATTTAAATTTTTCAGTTTTTTAGTTTCGGGCTATTTGGATTTCTTGATTTTTTAATTTTTGGACTTCTCGATTTTTCACTTTTTCGATTTCTCATTTTATCAGGATTTCACTTTTCGATTTTTTCAAGATTCAATTTTTCTAATTTTCGGATTTTCAGTTTTTTTAATTTTGGATTTTTTGATTTCTCGTTTTTCGATCATTAAATTTTTCAATTTTTTCAATGTTTCATTTTTTTGGTTTCTCGATTTCCCAAATTTTCAACGCTTCAATTTTGGAAATTTTTCAGTTTAGATTTCACTTTATTTTTTAAATATCAGTTTTTCAAGTTTTCGTTTTCTTTAAATTTGACATTTTTTGATTTTTCGAATTTTCCACTTTACATCTCGGTTTTTCATTATTTAATATTTTCTGGTTTCTCGATTTGTCAAATTTTCGATTTCTCAGTTTTTCAACACTTCATTTTGGAAAATGTTCAATGCAGATTTTCCCGGTTTTTTATTAAATATCAGTTTTTCGACTTTTCGTTTCCCTAAATTTGACATTTTTAATTTTTTCGTTTTTCAATTTTTTAAATTTTAGATTTTTTGATTTCTCTTTTTTTTTTAATTTGACATTTTTCGATTTTTAAATTTTCCGTTTCACGTCTCGGTTTTTCAATATTTAACATTTTTTGGTTTCCCAAATTTTTAAATTTTCGATTTCTCCACTTTTCAGCCTTCAATTTTGAGAATTTTTCAATTTTTCGATATTTTAATTAATCAATTTTTTAAACTTTCGATTTCTCAATTTTTTGATGTTTGAGTTTTTCAATTTTTCGATTCTCATGTTATCGAGGTTCCGCTACTTAAATTTTTTAATTGAAATTTTTCAAATATTGGCCTGTTTCAATTTTTCGGATTTTCAGTTTTTTAAATGTTTGATTTTTGGATTTCTCGGTTTTTTTTTTTTTGTTTCAGTTTTTTGGATTTTCCTTTTCACATCTTGGTTTTCCAATATTTAATATTTTTTGGTTTTTCAAATTTTCGACACTTCGGTTTTCAGAATTTTTCAATTTCTGGGTTTTTCAATTTTTCGATATTTTAGATTTGAAATTTTTTTGATATTTGAGATTTTCACTTTTTCGATTTCTCGTTTTATCAAAATTTCACTTTTCGATTTTTTTAAAGATTCAATTTTTCGAATTTTCGGATTTTCAGTTTTTTAAATTTTTGATTTTTTGATTTCTCGTTTTTCGATCATCAATTTTTTCGATTTTTCCGATTTCCCATTTCAAATCTCAGTTTTTCAATGTTTCATATTTTTTGGTTTCTGGATTTCCTAAATTTTCAACACTTCAATTTTGGATCTTGCGATTTGTGGGTTTTTCGAATTTTTGGCTTTCAGTTATTTGAATTTTAAATTTTTTGATTTCACGTTTTTTTTTTTTTTTTAATTTAACATTTTTAAATTTTTCATTTCACATCTCGGTTTTTCAGTTTTTCGATTTTTCGGTTTTTCAGTTTACTAAATTTTAGATTTTTTGATTTCTCTCTTTTTTTAATTTAATACTTTTTGGTTTCCCGATTTTTCAATTTTTCGATATTTTTTCAATGTTTAATATTTTTGGTTTCTTGATTTTTCAAATTTTCTCAACTTCTCAACACTTTAATTTTAGATTTTAAAAATGTTTGGTGTTTGAGTTTTACAATTTTTCATTTTTCGATCTTGCGATTTCTCGGTTTTTCAGTTAATTGAATTTTAAATTGTTTGATTTCTCGTTTTTTTTTGATGTTCCACTTTTTCAAATTTTCGATTTCTCAGTTTTTCAACACTTCAATTTTGGAAAATGTTCAATGCAGATTTCCTGTTTTTTTTGTAAATATCAGTGTTTCAACTTTTCGTTTCCTTTACATTTGACATTTTTTGATTTTTCAATTTTTCGGTTTTTCAGGTTTTTAAATTTTAGATTTTTTAATTTCTCTCTTTTTTTTTAATTTGACATTTTTCGAGTTTTCGGATTTTCCATTTCACGTCTAGGTTGTTCAATGTTTAACATTTTTTGGTTTCCTAATTTTTTAAATTTTCGATTTCTCCACTTTTAGCACTTCAATTTTGAGAATATTTCAATTTTTTGATGTTTGAGGTTTTCAATTTTTCGATTTCTCATGTAATCGAGATTCCGCTACTTCAATTTTTTTAATTGAAATATATTTCAAATTTTCAGCTGTTTCGACTTTTCGGATTTTCAGTTTTTTGAATTTTTTATTTTTTGATTTCTCGGTTTTTTTTCCCTTTTTTTTTTGTTTCAGTTTTTGGATTTTTCGTTTCACATCTCGGTTTTTCAATTTTTAATATTTTTTGGGTTTTCAATTTTTCGATATTTTTTCATCAATTTCTTAAAATTTTAGGTTTGAAAATTTTTTGATGTTTACTTTTTCGATTTCTCGTTTTATCAAGATTTCACTTTTCGATTTTTTTAAGGTTGAATTTTTAGAATTTTCGGATTTCCTGTTTTTTAAATTTTAGATTTTTTGATTTCTCGTTTTTCTATCATTAAATTTTTCCATTTTTCGGATTTTCCAATTCAAATCTCAGTTTTTCAGTGTTTCATATTTTTGGTTTCTCGATTTCCCAAATTTTCAACACTTCAATTTTGGAAATATTCAGTTTAGATTTTCCGTTTTTTTTTTGAAATATCAGTTTTTCAAGTTTTCGTTTTCTTTAAATTTGACATTTTTTGATTTTTCGAATTTTCCACTTTACATCTCGGTTTTTTCAATGTTTAATATTTTTGGTTTCTTGATTTTTAAAATGTTCGATGTTTGAGTTTTTCAATTTTTTCATTTTTCGATCCTGCGATTTCTCGGTTTTTCAATTTTTCGGCTTTTCAGTTATTTGAATTTTAAATTTTTTGATTTCTCGTTTTTTTTTTGATATTCCAGTTTTTTCAAATTTTCGTGTTTTTTTTTTCTTTTTGTTTTGAATTTAACATTTTTCGATTTTTGAATTTTTCATTTCACATCACGGTTTTTCAATATTTAATATTTTCTGGTTTCTCGATTTTTCAAATTTTCGATTTCTCAATTTTTCAACACTTCAATTTTGGAAAATGTTCAATGTAGTTTTGCCGTTTTTTTTTTTTTAATATCAGTTTTTCAACTTTTCGTTTCCTTTAAATTTGACATTTTTTGATTTCTCTTTTTTTTAATTTAACATTTTTCGAATTTTCCACTTCACGTCTCGGTTTTTCAATGTTTAACATTTTTTGGTTTCCCAATTTATGTTCGATTTCTCCGTTTTTCAGCACTTCAATTTTGAGAATTTTTCAATTTTTCGATATTTTAATTAATCAATTTTTTAAATTTTAGATTTTTCAATTTTTTGATGTCTTATGTTATCGATATTGCGCTATTTCAATTTTTTAATTGAAATTTTTCGAATTTTGGCCTGTTTCGATTTTTCGGATTTTCAGTTTTTTAAATTTTTCGGTTTTTTTTTCAGTTTTTGAGTTGTCCGTTTCACATTTCGGTTTTTCAATATTTAATATTTTTTGGTTTTTCAAATTTTCGATTTTTCAACTTTTCAACACTTTGGTTTTCAGAATTTTTCAATTTCTGGGTTTTTTCAATTTTTCGATATTTTAGATTTGAAAATTTTTTGATGTTCGAGATTTTCACTTTTTCGATTTCTAGTTTTATCAAGATTTCACTTTTCGATTTTTTTAAGATTCAATTTTTCGAATTTTCACATTTTCAGTCTTTTAAATTTTAGATTTTTTAATTTCTCGTTTTTCGATCATTAATTTTTTCAATTTTTCAGATTTTCCATTTCAAATCTAAGTTTTTCAATGTTTCATATTTTTTGGTTTCTCGATTTCCTAAATTTTCAGCACTTCAATTTTGAATCATGCGATTTCTGGGTTTTTCGAATTTTTGGCTTTTCAGTTATTTGAATTTTAAATTTTTCATTTCACATCTCGGTTTTTAAATTTTTCGATTTTTCAATTTGCCAAATTTTAGATTTTTTGATTTCTCTCTTTTTTTTAATTTAATATTTTTTGATTTCCCTGTTTTTCAATTTTTCGATATTTTAATTCATCAATTTTTTTTCAATGTTTAATATTTTTGGTTTCTTGATTTTTCAAATTTTCGATTTCTCAACTTCTCAACACTTTAATTTTAGATTTTAAAAATGTTTGATGTTTGAGTTTTTCAATTTTTCATTTTTCGATCTTGCGATTTCTCGGTTTTTCGATTTTTCGGCTTTTCAGTTAATTGAATTTTAAATTTTTTGATTTCTCGTTTTTTTTTTTGATATTTCACTTTTTCAAATTTTCGTTTTTTTTAATTCAACTTTTTTCGATTTTTCAAATTTTCGATTTCTCAATTTTCAACACTTCAATTTTGGAAAATGTTCAATGTAATTTCCCGTTTTTTTTTTTGAAATATCAGTTTTTCAACTTTTCGTTTTCTTTAAATTTGACATTTTTTGATTTTTCAATTTTACATTTTTCGATTTTTCGGTTTTTTGATTTGTCTTTTTTAATTTAACATTTTTCGAGTTTTCGGATTTTCCATTTCATGTGTCGATTTTTCAATGTTTAATAGTTTTTGGGGTCCCGATTCATCAATTTTTAAATTTTAGATTTTTCAGTTTGTCGTTTTTTGTAACGAATTTTTCAGCTTCTCAATTTTTATTTTTGATTTTGATTTTCGCCATTACTTAATTTTCATTTTCCCGATTTTATATCACAATTTTCGTTTATTCAATTTTTCAAATTTGAATTTTGCGATTTTCGGATTTTCAGTTATTTAGATTTTACAATATTTCATTTTTTTCGATTTTTACATTTCTTAAATTTTAATCTTTCGATTTGTCAATTTTTCGTTTCTTCACTTTTTCAAGTTCCTGATTTCTTTACACTTTTTCATTTTTGATGTTTCAATCTCATTATTTTTCAATTTTTTAAATTCAAAAAGTTGACAAATCGAAAAATTAGAAAACCCAAAAATTATAAAATCGCTTTAAAATCCAATAATTGAAAAAATTCACAACTATAAAAAAAAAAGAAATATAGAATCAAAACATTGAAAAATGAAAAACGTGGAAAACCGAAAAATTTATACTTGTTGCAATTTTTCGTTTCTTCATTTTTTCAAATTCCTGATTTCTTCACATTTTTTCGTTTTTGATTTTTCAATCTCATTATTTTTCCATTTTTTAGATTCAAAAAGTTGAAAAATCGAAAAATTAGAAAACCCATAAATTATAAAATCGAAAAATTATAGAATCGAATAAATGAAAGCTTTAAAATCCAATAATTGAAAATTTTCACAACTATAAAAAAAGAGATATAAAATCAAAACATTGAAAAACCGAAAAATTGGAAAAACAAAGATTCGAAACGAAAAATGTAAATCGAAAAATGAAAAACGTGGAAAATTGAAAAATTTATACTTGGAAACTCGAAAAACTGCAAACCGAAAAATTAAAGGAACAAAAAAAATGACATTTCTAAACATTGATAATAAATTTGGATGCTAGGCATACACAAACCTCATTTGACATACACCTGTTAAACTTTTATGACTTAAGCGGCTTAAGCCAAACCACCCTTATCGGTCAAACTGGCTATTGTATTACTTAACTCAGTTCACAGCTACATTATACCAACAATGGCCAGTAATAATCTTGCGGTTCGGGTCCACAAAGCTTATAACAGCCAGTTTGTCTTATAAGGGTGCTTTGGCTTTAGCCACTTAAGTTTTAACAGGTGTATGTCAAATGAGGTTTGAGCGATAATGACATCAAGCGGTTAGACAAAGCCTGTCGAACTCATGATATTTCTTTAAACCTTGGTAAAACCTAAAATAAAACAAAATTTGAGTTCCAAAGTCAAACGAAAAGGCATTAAAACAGTAAAATAAGGAGACATTTCTAGAAGGGATTAAGTCGGTACGTTCAGATAAACAATTAAGAGATTGTAAAATTTTGGGATTAAATTTTTTCCAGGTATTGATATTTCCACTTAAAGACTTAAATTTTCTAAATGATAAAATTCTAAGATCGTAAAACTGAAAAAGTGCCAAATTTTTAAAATTATAATTGTTATTACATACATATTTAAAGTGAAAACTAGAAAAAGTGCAAATCAAAAATTGAAGAAACGAAAAATTGAATAAATTGAACTTCGTTATTTTATCATGACCAATTTTGTTAAATTCTGTAACACTAAGAACTATAGGAACCATACGTGATAGAAAATTTTAGTAGTCATATCTGCTCTCTGTTAGCATTATTTGACTCTATAGCGCTTATTTCATTAATGTTGGAAATCAAAATTACAAAATGTCGCCTCGTGTTCTTCAGGTCGTTAAAATAGCATTAAATGAATTATTCGTTAATAAAATTATCTGCCATCGAGGAAACGAAGCAAGCATCACATCAAAGTGAGCACTGGATGAATCTTTCAATTTTTAATAAGGTGGTTTGAAAGTCAGATAACGTCTGGCCTTGAATATTGATCTGCTTTCAAGTGCATAATTTGTCATTTTGATGTTGAATCAATAACAGAGTGCCGGAAATTATTTTTCACTCGATTTTAAACATTGTTTTTTTTATTGTACCTGGAAAACCACCTGGAAACTGGAGAAAACCTGTCTAAAATGAAAACCGTGTCTTTTAATGTGTTGTTACCTAACGACAACAAGATAACGTTATCGGGCACTTGTTTCCACGAGTGTTTGATATTTTAAAAAATCGGTAAATTTAGATGCATTGGTATGCTTTAATTTAAACAGGAGTGGAGTTTATTTCACGAAAAGATGATCAAGTTTGTGAAATAAACCTTATGTTGTTTTATAGGAGCGTAAGGTTTATTTAAGACGATAGGGGTGAAAGAGGCATTAATCGGTTAGACGAAACTTGCAAAGCTCACGATATTTTTTATAATAAAGGTGATTATTTGAGAATTAACCCAAAGCAGGTGTTTTTTGATTTCTCCAAAATTCTAGATGTCTAGAACACGGATTCGTAAACCACATACAAAACAAGAGACCTATTTTTCATAGTCTAGGGGTCATGAAACGTCCAAAAAACGTGAAAGTAAAATTTATAAATTGTCCCATACAGTTTCCAAAGTGTCCCCTTATGCTGTGGAGCTCCTTAAAGGCAATGTGTTTATTTGTAGACGGAAGCCCCAGAACCTCACCCCTCCGGGCAGCAGCGACGGCGGCAGCTCCGGGAGCGGCCAGTCCCCGACCAGCACCCACCCCGGCTCTCCGCCGCCGATCACGACGTCGTCGTCCAAGCGGCCCGGCTACTACGACAACCAGGACGGCTTGCCCACCAAGCGCCAGCGCATCTCCCATTACCGGAAGCCCTCCGAACAACCCACCTACCGCTCACCGGTGGAGAACAACAGCCAGCGGCGGCCCGTCACCGACTCGCGGGACGCCAGCAACATGAACCCCCGCAGCAGGGAGTCGCCGACGCTCAGCAACGGCTACTCGACGCCGAACGGCGGATATCCGCCGAGCAACGGCTACGTGACGCCGTACGCCGACAAGCGGAACTTTAGTGACGACGGCGACGACCGGAAGCGTTCTTGTGATAGTCATAGTTTAAGCTACGGCATCGGCCGCGAAAAGACTTTCGGGGGTGGCGCGGGTGATTGTAGGAACGGCTCGCCGCAGACGGGCAAGACGGACAGCGGGTACGCGAACGGGGCCCCGGTGCCGAACGGTAAATGCAAGGAGAAGGAAAGGGGCAAGTACGACAGGGTGACGTCGTCGAGTCAGAGGAGCGTGAGGGTGAGTCCGGACAGCCAATCGGAGGCGATAGGCAACAACGAGAGCGTGGGGGGAGCGATGGTGGTGTCGCCGGTGCGAGTGAAGAGCGGGGCCGTGGACAGCAGTTCGGAGTTCCCGGATTACTTAACGTAAGAAAGACAAATTTGGGTGTTGAAATGACGTAACGGGTTGTGTATGATTGCAGGGAGTACACCAGGATCAAGGATGCCGAGCAGAGGCGGAGGTTCAAAGCCGATTTCAATGCCGACTACGCCGAATACAAGGACTTGCACGGAATTGTGGAGAAGGTTTCGAGGAGGTTTGTCAATTTAGAATCGATGCTTAAGCAAGAAGACGCTTCTAGTCCCAGGTTTAAAGTAAGTCGAATTTTATATTTCGATATTCAAATTTGAATTTTTAAACATTGAGCATAGTGCGTTTAACTCTAGAACTTTTACTTTTTCGGCAAAATCCGATCAATTTTAAATGTTTATGTTTAGCATAAGAAATATCATGAATTTTACATGCGTTGTCGAACGGATTAATGCCATTATCACCATGCTAATTTCGTTTACACAATTATTATCGAGATTTTTTGTATATTCAAATTTTCAATATTTCGATTTTAGTTTTTATTTTTTTCATGTTCCTGATTCTTAATTTTTTCAAATTTACAATGTTGCAATGTTTCTATTTTTTATTCGAAAAAGTGAAAAAAAAATCAAAAAATTATAGAAAAGTCAAATTGTAAAGTCTTATTTTGGCAAATGATAGCCCCGCCCACCCGCCCTCTATTTTTTTTTTTTTTTAGAGAATGTTAAATGCCAAATCAGTCTTATCTTAACAGGTACTAGCTCCACCCATCCTATTCTCATTTTAACGATTTTATCTCTGCCCATTAGTATAAGATCAACCTTTCATTCAGACCACATCCAATGAATTACTAAAATGAAGGCGGGGTAAGTGGGCGGAGTGAATTATTTGTTCTTCTGTAAAGTGGAAAGAAACTAATAGGACCTGGGGTGTTAAAAGGAGAAAAAAGAACGCTAATCCTATTTTTTTGTTACACTATTAGCGATAAAAATGCATTTCTTGTTTCAGAAGAAAAAAGAACGGGTGGGTGGGCGGGGCTAAATTTAACTTTTTCTTACTGAATTTTTTATAAGCAAGCAGGAGCCCCGCCCACCCACCCCCTCTCCATTCCAGTGACTACTCTAAATATTGTTCAGTCTTATCTTGGCAATTGCAACATTAAAAGAGCGAAAATTTGAAACATTAAATATCGAGAAATTGAAAAATTAAAAAGCCTAAAATTGAAAAAATAAAAATTTTTAGAAGTTGTTATTACATATTTAAAATGAAAAATTGAAGAATTCAAGTTGCTTTCAGTATTCAATTTAGAATTTCTTAACAATGATCATAAATTTGGCTGCCCGGTGTACTCGATTCTAATTTATGTGAAAGAAATCAGCATAGCGATAATGGCTTCAACTTGTTAGATGAAGCGTGTAAAAATCATGATATTTCTTACATTAAACATAAATGTTTGAAATTGGTCACAAAATTGATCGTATTTTACTGAAAAGCGAAAGAAGGTACCAAAATGGGATAAAGTCAATAAAAAAAACATTTCGTTTCAAAGCGATTAGGGCGGTACTTTCAGGTAAACAAGGTCAGATTAATTTTACAATAGTGATATTTTGGGATTAAAGATCATTAATTTTGAATAAATAACTTTTACGGTTGATTTTGAATTGGATTTGCAAGTTGAAACTTTGTAGTGTAATAATTTCCATTTCCCTGTCAAGATAAATAAACGAAAACCGCTTATCGCAAACGAGTCACTCTTTTGTTCATATCAGAGGCAGACATCTGTATATATTCAATAGCGATGTTTTTTCTTGCAAGTATTTGCTAATTGTTGAAAATATGTAAAACTTTAAATATGTCTCTGATAAAAAGAAACCAGCGAACAATGAACAGGTGAGAAAAGGAGTAACCATTTTCGCACATGCCAGTTGACATCGGTGTAGGCTAGATTCTTTCGCTGTTCACAGACAGATAAATCGGGCGATGTAGCTGGCAGACTATGGGAAAATAAATTTTCCCATAATTGTAATATTATGTGTCTAGGAATTACATATTTTATTGTGGTTACATTTCGTTTTGTCGTTGTTTCAGGATCTAAAAAAGCAAATCGTTAGGGAATACAATGAAAATAAGAAAGATCTGGAGCACCAGAAATTAAAGCGGAGATTTCAGTATCTGCACGACAAGCTGTCGCACATAAAACGGCTGGTATTGGAGTACGATCAGGGCTTGTCAAATAACCAGTACTGACCCTGGGACGTGGCCCGTAGGCCTCACGCCCCGGCACATTGCTATGGACTCCTGCCATCGGACGACTCAATACTAACATCACGAACCACAATACAAGTTTCCCATTAAAATAGAAGAAAAAAAAGTAAAAAAAGTGTCTAGTGAAGTCATATTTATATAGTCTATATTTGTATTCGTCTTAAGGAACAAGAGAGGAATTAAGTAACTGTTTTGGTAGATTGTCGTTGAAAATATTGTAATTATTGCTTATTGATAATTCGTTATTTATTAATTTTGATGTCAAGTGCATTACTTAGATTTGTATAGGTTAATTTGTTTATTGTAATATACGTGTTGATACAATCACTCTTTGAACGCAACAACAGACGGATGCAGAAACATCAGCACAATCAAGTAAGTGTGGAACGAGACGGTTTTTGTTTTTGTTGGTTCGGCGGAATACTTATCGTTTTTCTTTCCAGCGGTTTTGCTCAAAATAAATGTGATAAAAAAATTTCGTTTGCCTGAATGAGGGTGTGCTCTGCCGCCATCAAAGATTGATTGTTAACATAGTCTAAATAAAACGTTTCCCTCGTCAATGGCACAGTGCTTAAATCTCAAACATATCTGAAGTCATATTTGAAACGAGAACAGTCAACTTAATACCATATCTACTTAGTTATTAATTTATTTACTGACTATACATATCTTTGTTATCTGATGCCACTGTGCTCTATCGCAAGCATTTAAATCGGGTAATTTGGTTAATTTCATTGTGCCATAACTACCTAGAAACCGATCTAATGCTTTGATATTATCAGTTATCACGGAAATTGTTGACATTTCACCGAAATTCTGTTGCTTGTTGTAATAAGTTTGTATATTATGATGCATGTTGTCGTTTTATTCTCTTTGTTTGTACGCAGTATTGCCATTTTAACCAGTTACCATACACACTTCTCGTTATCTCATAGTTGTCTTAAGATCTTCCGTTCTTGTTGTTATTCTTCCACTGGACTAAATTATTTACTGATACTGTGCCAAACGCGTAACGATGATATTCTAAATTGTAATTCATCTTTTCCATTTTCGTCTCTTATTAGTTTAATCTTTTAACCGGCGAAGTTATTTTGTGGCGATTTTATTTATTGTAGTTTTAACGTCGTCTTGTTTTACTGTTGTTACAAAATAATTTCCACCTCTGATCAAATTAGCGATGTTGTGTTATAATCTCATTCGTTGTTCAGTAGCCATAACATCTGCCGTCTGTATGGCACAGATGTAGATTGACGCGTTCGAACAAACCAAATAGTAGGCGCCGTCATCTTAATTCTATTTGAGTTCACGTACAGCAATCGTAACGATAACACTTAACAATGGGGATTATTAATAACCGAAATTAAATGTTTGTACTTTGATAGATAACGTTATCAAGTTTCTCGGCGTCGTTTTTTGTTGAAAATCGAGTTTTGGTTGTTCACTGCGACTTTGATCTCAGCACCTACGTTTTGTTGTCGAACGTCGTCATTCTGAACATCCAAATAGATCTAATTTAGGAGATTTAGTAGTTAGACAATGAAATATTATATTAAACTATTTTTGAACTGTGATGACCACGCTCATTCCGCTGAATTAGTTAGTGTTATGTTGTCCAGTAGCAGTGCCCTTCCTGCCAATCAGACTGTCCGTCGATCGCACTCTAGCGATGTGGTTGTGATTGTACATATGATCTTCGATGACGACCTGGCCTGACCTTGACTCATCATAAATATATATACAGTACCATGTATCTATATTATTACATATATATTAATATGTTAGAGTATGCTTAATCAACTTTATTCTGTCTTCTCGCTTATTTTATTTTATTTTTTTTGAGACAAAGCAAATATGAAAACCAAAAAAAATAAAAAATATTAAATGTCGTTAGTCCGGGGTTGTGTAATTTCTATACGTACCGAGTCAATTTAAAAACACAAAAAAATTCAATTTTTGTTGAAGCGCCTGAATGTTATTAATCAATTACATGACACGTGGATTAATGTGATAAAAGAAATGGTTCATTGGTTGTTTGGTTTGGTTGGTCTTGTTTGTATGAGTAATTCCAGTGACCGTACGTAGACTAACATGTTTTTGAGTGCATTGATTGCTCTCTTTCTCTCTCTGTTGTTATGTAAAACGTGCCACTTGTTGCCAAGCTTGGTCTGTTGTCGATTTTCGGTTATGAACTGATCTATGTTATATATCACCCTGTACATAAGTATATATTATTGTGACCAGTCTGTTTTTGTCAAAGTGCTGGTAGATTATTATGTCCAGTTCGTATTCAAGTGGCTAGGGTTTTATAACGACATTATGTTTTATTGTAAATTTGAACTATGCAATATATTTAAAAGCATCCCGAATTCGTCTTTTCTTTTCCATTTTTCTGACGATCCTTACGTGTGTTACGCCATTGGAGTTGCTACGCCACTGGAAATTACGTCAAAGTGCGCGCATTTCTAGGTTATGTTTACGTGATGATGCGTCAAATTCGTACCATATAACAAATTATACCGGTGTTTAGACAAATTTTGGGATGGATGAGGTTCGATTATTACCATTTTGACTTTAATGATTAAAAGTGACCTTTTAGAATTCACCTGAAGCCCTAAAAGAACTAGGAAATGCAGCTGTAAAAAATCAAAAGTATGAAGAGGCAGTTTTGTATTACACTCAAGCTATTAAATCGGACCTTAGCAATTACACCCTATATAGTAATCGCTCGTTTGCTTTTTTAAAAGTGCACCAGTATTATTTCGCCATGGAAGATGCCAAAGAAACCATAAAACTGAACCCGATGTGGCCCAAGGTACAGTTTTACTAGTTAAACTAGCGCTGATTTTAATTTGTGTCTCGTAGGGCTATTTTCGTAAAGCTGAGATAGAATATACAACTAAGCATTACTTGTCTGCTTGTGAATCGTACCAAAAAGCGCTTCAACTGAAACCCGACGATGTAAATCTAATTGACGCTTTAAATAGGACAAAGAGGGAGATTTTGAAGGAGCGCAAAGCCGATGAGGTGATTCCATGGTTGGGGGCAGGGATTGGGATTGTCGTGGGTGTGATTATTGTAATAGCGGATTGTATTTTCACCCATAAACCCACCGTGAGTCAGTATTGTGACACTAAAGCTTGATTTACATTAAATATTTGTAGCACCCCCTTCTAATGGCTTTCGTTACCATCGTCATAGCGATGGTAGGGTACGGAATCGCCAAAACCTACCGGTATTACGTGAGGTGCCAAAGAGACGGTTTATTAGACCCACCTCTAGACTTGAGTAAGTTTATTATAAAATCCCAAAACTAACTATAGTCGCGTTTTCTAGTGAACGAAGACGAGACTGAAAGTGAGAACTCTTCAGAAAAGGAAGCCAAAACTCACACACCGAGATACACAAAGTCGCAAGCCCGTCAAAGATATAAAAAAGGGAAGTTATAGATCTTACTGTGTGTTCTGTTGTGGATTTGCGTAATTCACATTCCATTTGATAAACCCCAGTCTGACTTACATGTTGGATGAATTTGCAATAATTTGTTATAAGCATAATGACTATTGTGTGATGTTGTTGATAAAATTTCTCAAAACGAGCACCAGTGTTTCAATTGTGCCGCCTCTTCGTGACATCAAGTGTGCCAAGTGACGTCAGAAACGTCAAACTAATGTCAATGATCTTGGAATCATGGCAAAAGATGGGAATCTTTGGTGTGGGAGGATTAATAGACAAGGAATCTGAACCACAGAATTATCAATTATGTGGTTTGTTGCAGTAGAACGAAATAAGAGATTATACTGATGACCTGTTTAGTATTACATTCTTGGCTATAATCTTCTAAATCACAATTTACGCGTTTACTCCCTCCTAAAAAATTGGTGACGTCATGTCAATTTTAACGAATAAATGCTGTCTACTAAAATAAACAAAATTGATCAATTGAATAAAAAAATCTATTTTTTTAACTTCAGTTCACAGTTGTTTGTAATTTCTCTGGGATAAAATCAACCACTAAACTACAAGCGTAGCGAGCACGTTTAAGATCTTCCTTAGATTAGAAGCTAGATTATAGTTCTTAACAATAATCTAGCTTCTCAGGGACACAAATAAATAATTTTTAAATTAAACCTGAACGTGCTCGCTGCGCTCGCATTTTACAGGTTGTTTTTTTCAAGAAGCAACATCTAAAATCCGAGCGTAGCGAGCACGTTCAGGGTGTTTGAATCCACAGATATTAGTGATCACAAACTCGCATTTTTAAAAAACAGCAAAACTGTAATAATTTAGCTTCTCAGGGATACCAATAAATAACTTTTTAAATGGAATCTGAACGTGCTCGCTGCGCTCGCATTTTAGGCATTGATTTTGGAAAAACCAATCTCTAAAATACGAGCGGAGTCCCACAGATACTCCTGATCACAAACTCACACTTAAATAAAAAGCAAAATTGTTGTTAATAATTTAGCTTCTCAGGGACACCAATAAATAATTTTTTAAATGGAACCTGAACGTGCTCGCTGCGCTCGCATTTTAGGAATTGGTCTTTGATGTTGAGGATGTTTGAGTCCCACAGATATTAATGATCACAAACTCACATTTTTAAAAAACGGCAAAAATGTTGTTAATAATTTAGCTTCACAGTGACACCAGTAAACAATTGTTTCAATTAAACCTTAACGTGCTCACTGCGCTCGCATTTTACAAATAGATTTTTCAAGAATCAACCTCTAAAATACGAGCGTTGCAAGCCCATTGAAAATGTTTGAGTCCCACAGATATTAGTAATCACAAATTCACCTTTTAAAAAAAACAGCAAAATAGTTTTTAATAATTTAGCTTCTCAGGGACACCAATAAATATTTTTTTAAATGAAACCGGAACGTGCTCGCTGCGCTCGCATTTTAACATAACGAGCACGTTCAGGATGTTTTGAGTCTTACATACATTGGGTAATAGAAATTAATTTAACTGATAATAATTTATGTTTGATGATATTTTCTTCGTCATATTTAGCATTTTTTATTATTTGAACGTGTCATGTTATTACATACCATAATTTATATTTTCTGTAATTGTGTAATATATATCTGTAGAAAATAAAGGTTTATTTATTTATTTATTATTTATTATTTTTTTATATATTAAATAAATAAAATGTAGTATGACATTCTATGTTTGTTGTTCTTTGGCATGTTGGACATTATAATAAAATTTTTGACAACAATTTTACATTTTTCGTCGTGTCAATATTTTTTGACATTTTCAATTAATTGAAATTTGAATTATATTAAAGGAATTACATAGTCACTCTTGGGACATCCCCTATTTTTTTCTTCTTCTCGCTTTTATTGTTTTTGACAACTTTGAATTTTAACATTTGTCGTCGTGTCAGTATTTTTGACATTTTCAATAATTCGACGGTTGAATTATATTAAAGAAATTATATAAACTACTCACTCTTGAGACATCCTCTATTCGTGGTGTCAGGATTTTTGACATTTTCTATAGACTGACATTTGAATTATATTAATGCGACAGCCTTAATTTTATTCTTTTTCACGGTTTTATTGTTATCGACAACTTTGAATTTTACATTTGTCGTCGTGTCAGTATTTTTGACATTTTCAATAATTCGACGGTTGAATTATATTAAAGAAATTATATATACTCACTCTTGAGACATCCTCTATTCGTGGTGTCAGTATTTTTGACATTTTCAATAATGCGACAGTTGAATTATATTAAAGAAATTATATATACTACTCACTCTTGAGACATCCTCTATTCGTGGTGTCAGGATTTTTGACATTTTCTATAGACTGACATTTGAATTATATTAATGCAACAGCCTTAATTTTATTCTTTTTCACGGTTTTATTGTTATCGACAACTTTGAATTTTACATTTGTCGTCGTGTCAGTATTTTTGACATTTTCAGTAATTCGACAATTGAATTATATTAAAGAAATTATATTTATATTCTTCGCTTTCTCAAGTTTTCGACTTTCCGATTTCTCGATTATTATTGGAGTTTTCTACTTTGATTTTTCAATTTGTCGATTTAATGTTTTTCAAATTTTACTTTTCGATTTTGGAATTTCTCGATTTTTAGACATTTCAATCTTTGGATTTTTCGACTTTCCAGGCTTTAGATTTGTCTTTTTGCGAATTTCCGATTTTTCGACATTTTTTTCGAGTTTTGGATTTTCTGATTTCTGAATTTTCGATTTTTGGACTTCACAATTTTCAAATTCTAGATCTTATGGATTTTTTGGCTTAGATTTTTCCACAGCATTTGTCGAATTCTCGATTTTTAGTCATTTCGATTTTTCAATTTTCCGACTTTTCGATTTGTGACTTTGGATTTTCTGATTTCTGAATTTTCGATTTTTCGACCTCACAATTTCCAAATTCCAGATTTCTGGGTTTTTTGACTTTGATTTTTCCACAAGATTTGTCGATTTCTCGATTTTTAGACATTCCGAGTTTTCAGTTTTTGATTTTTCGACCCTTTGTTTTCTTGATTTTTGGATTTTTGACTTTCCTATTTTTGGTTTTTTCGGTTTTTCGAGTTGTGACTTTTGGTTTTTTCGACTTCACGTTCCTTTGATTTATGTATTTTTCAACTATTTGATTTTTCAACTTTACATTTTTCAATTTTTAGATTTTTGGATTTTCCGACTTTTCTTTTTTCGGTTATTCAATTTTTGGACATTTAGACTTTTCGAATTCCCGATTTTTTTATTTTCTGGCTTTCCAGGTTTTGAATTTGCTTTCTTTTCGACTTTTCGATTCTTCGATTTTTCGACTTTTGGATGTTTCGTTTTTAGGAGATTTCTACTTCTATTTTTTAATTTTTTGAAAAAAATTTTCGACTTTTCGATTTTGAAATTTCTCGATATTTGGACTTTTCAACTTTTGAATGTTTCGACTTTACAGGTTTTGGAGTTGTATTTTTTCGAATTTCCGATTTTTCGATTCATCGATTTTTGGTTTTTTGATTTTTCGTCATTTCCTTTTTTCCGAGTTTTGGATTTTCTGATTTTTGAATTTTCGATTTTTCGACTTCGCAATTTCCAAATTATTTCATCTTTGGATTCTTTGACTTCGCCTTTTTTGATTTATCAAATTTTTGGACTTCTGGATTTTGGGTTTTTCGCATTTTTCATTTTTGGATTTTACGATTTTTCTTTTTTCGATTATGTATTCCATTTTTGGACATTTAGACTATTCGAATTCCCGATTTTTGGATTTTCCGGCGTTGCAGTCCAAAAATTTGCCTTTTTTTGACTTTCCGATTTCTCGACTTTTGGTGTTTTCTACTTCGATTTTCCAATTATTCTATTTTTCGACTTTTAGATTTTTCAATTTTTGGACATTTAGATTTTTCGCATTTCCGATTTTTGGATTTTCCGACTTACCAGTGTTGAATTTGCCTTTTTTTTTTGATTTTTCGATTTTGCGGTTGTTCGATTTTTCGACTTTCCGATTTCTCGATTTTTGGATTTTTCTACTTCGATTTTTCTATTTTCGACTTTTGCATTTTTCAATTTTGGATTTTTCAATTTTTCGATTTGATTTTTCAATTTTTCGATTTTGAAATTTCTCGATTTTTAGACATTTTAATTTTTGTCTTTTTTTACTTTCTAAGGTTTAGATGTCTTTTCGAATTTCCGATTTTTCGATTGTTGTATGTTTCGACTTTTGGATTTTCTGATTTTAGATTTTTCAAATTTTCGACTTTTCGATTTTGATATTTTTAAACATTTTTCAATTTTTGGATTTTTTGACTTTCCAGGTTTTGGTTTTGTCCTTTTTCGAATTTCCGATTTTTCGATTCTTCGATTTTTGGTTTTTGAATTTTTCGACATTTTCAATAATTCGACGGTTGAATTATATTAAAGTAATTATATATACTACTCACTCTTGAGACATCCTCTATTCGTGGTGTCAGGATTTTTAACATTTTCTATAGACTGACATTCGAATTATATTAATGCGACAGCCTTAATTTTATTCTTTTTCACGGTTTTATTGTTATCGACAACTTTGAATTTTACATTTGTCGTCGTGTCAGTATTTTTGACATTTTCAATAATTCGACGGTTGAATTATATTAAAGAAATTATATATACTACTCACTCTGAGGCATCCTCTATTCGTGGTGTCAGGATTTTTGACATTTTCTATAGACTGACATTTGAATTATATTAATGCAACAGCCTTAATTTTATTCTTTTTCGCGGTTTTATTGTTATCGACAACTTTGAATTTTACATTTGTCGTCGTGTCAGTATTTTTGACATTTTCAATAATTCGACGGTTGAATTATATTAAAGAAATTATATATACTCACTCTTGAGACATCCTCTATTCGTGTTGCCAGGATTTTTGACATTTTCTATAGACTGACATTATTTTAAACGTCGAAGTTGCTGAAAACTAGCATATAACTTATTTACGTTGTTCAACATGCTCTTACTTTTCAACCACTTTAACATCCACTCGACGCATATAAACAGCATTAAAATTTGCGCCCAAATAGCAGCCGCAATTTTGTTTGTCTTAGCGAAACAACTCTTGTTTTCCGCAACC